AACAAAGCTGAAGTATCCGAAGAGAACTTGTACATGATTACAGGAAAGGCAGAGCAGCACTTCTACTCCTTCATAGGAGTCAGCATATTCAACTTTTGTTTGCCTGCTGACATCTCATGAACATATTTGTGCTGACATCATTGAATCACACCCAAACCTATTGTTTATGTTTTTTTAGTCTAATATCATTGAGAGACTGAATATTAGTCATTATAATGTCATAAGCAGGTATCATTAATCATGTGTTTTAATTCTGCTCCCGTTTCCAGTCAAAGATCGAATACGACCGCCTGATCGCCACGATCGGTAAGAAGCTGCCTCCAGAAGCTGGTATGAAGGTGCGATGGCGTGGCGGGGGATTATCGCTGGCCCAGCGGAGAGACTTCATCCAGCAGCTGCAGAGTCTCACGGGGACACACCCCTTCTTCCCCTGGAGCTCAACCCCAAAGAGTTTCAGGGCTTTCAGCTGGCTCTGCTCAACAAGGTACATCTTACCTGTTCTTCTGTTATAAGCCATGGTTATTCAGTCATGAATACAGACACTAATGAGGTGTATTTAATTGGACAGATGATGCTACTTTGTATGAGTATTTTATTTTTGAAGGTTTTATTTAGGCCTTTATTTAGAGATAGGACTGTGTATAAAGTCAGAAATCGGGGACAGAGAGAGTGGGGAATGAATGAAAAAGGAGCCCCAGGTCGGATATGAACCCGGGGCGTCCGCTCGGTGGCCCACATCCTCCAATATATGGGCACGCACACTAACCACTAGGTTACTGGCGACCCTTTTGTATGATTATTTATTATTTACTGTTTATGAGTGTGGGACAAGAAAGAAGCTAGTAGGCAGTGCCACACAGTGCACTTATAGCCAAGCTGGTTTGCAAAGCCCGTCCCTAGATGGGCCTATAAAATGCATGCAAATCAACAACAAAAACAAAAGACACCATACTTCCTGGTTTTCCATTCTTGCGTTTATTGAAAGTGCTTATGTTTTTGTTTTTTTAAATAGTCCTTTACATCCACTCTGTCATTACCAAAGTTCTATAATAACCAGAGAACAATCGTCTCTTCTGACCTAAAGAAATCTAAACAACCCCCGTTTTTCTTCCTCATCAGAGCCTAAAACCACAGAGCTTTAGGAATCCTTACGACATCCCCCGGAGCCACCTGCTGGACCAGCTCAGCAGGATGAGGAGAAACCTGCTCAACACCAGCGTCTGTAGCCTCAGAGGGCAGGACTCAGGTAAGTCACTATGCAAGTCCATTAATGCCTCCTTGGTCATATGATATGCTCTGTTATTTCTATAAACACTCTCCCACCGCTTGGTGCTTTTCTCCGTCTCCTGTGCAGACCAACTCCACAGCGTGCCAATTGCCCAGATGGGCAACTACCAAGACTTCCTCAAAGCTGCTCCTCAGCCTCTCCGAGACGCCGACCCCGAACAGCCCAAACGCCTGCACACGTTCGGAAACCCCTTCAAACTCGACAAGAAGGTACTGACTCGTATCAAGCCTAGCAATGAAGCAGATAAAGGAAAACTGATGTCAGAAACATGTGGATTGAACGTCCTCCTCTCCTCTCTCTTAGGGCATGATGATTGACGAGGCGGATGAGTTTGTGACCGGCCCTCAGAACAAGGGGAAGAGACCTGTAGACAGCAGCAACATGACTGGTGGAGGGCCGAAGAGACGACGCTGCATGTCCCCTCTGCTGCGTCTGGGCAGGGCTTACACCCCTCCTGTGACGCCACCTGCCAGCCCTCGATCAGGTGAGAGTGGAGACGTGTGTTATTACAGTTTGTGTTTGTATATAGGGATAGTCCCACAGAGCCTGACTCGCCTTACCTGCTGAGTATTTTATATTCCTACATGTATTTTTAAATCTCTGTACCTGCAGACATTGACATGAGTGACGGAGCTCCTGAACCTGACCTGATCATAAACCACCTGAATGAGAACCACTACAGCTCAGACTCAGATGAGTCGGATCATCCCTCGGGGCCTGCAGACCACCAGGAGAACCACACATCAGCGGAGCCCCAGGACCTGGGTCTGCACGAGGACGGGGACGGGGACGGGACAGGGAAGGGGACGAGGAGGAGAACGGAGAACTCCAGGCGGACGAGCTCCTGCCAGGCAGCGAGGGTGGAGCAGAGCTGCTGCTGCTGGAGGACCAGCCGCCTCGCTACCTGTCACCTACGGCTCTGAAGAAGCACATTCACACAGAGACGACGAAGGTCAACAACGAGCTGAGGACACTCATCACCAAGGAGATCCGAAAACCTGGCAGGCGTACGTAGACAAAGACTGTGTGTGTCTTTAACACACACTTAGTTGATTGTTTTTTTTTTTTTTTTTATTTGAAGGTGCTGTGGATGGATTTTATCATCACAATAGTCATTAGTCTAACCCAAAGATATTTCCGGTTTTTAGACTACGAGAAGATCTTCCTCCTTCTGAAGCAGATCCAGGGCACTTTGGACACCCGGCTCATCTTCCTCCAAAATATCATCAAAGAGGCGGCCAGGTACAGAGTTTAACCCTTCGTTTGTCACATCATGACCCCGCTCTTCCATCAAAATAAGCTGAAGATTGGTTTCACTTCTAAATCCTGTAACGTCATGTGTCTTTCTTCAGGCCTTCCAATCACAATATGTCTTCAAAAAAAGAACAATTCTGTATCGTGGAGTATGAATTACTACCAGCACAAGTTTAGAACTTAGAAAATAAGAAAATCATATTATGTTAAACACTGACAGGTTTAATTCAAAGTCTAGTAAGTTTGGGGAAAAACTAAATTGAAACTGTAATATTTCCAGAATACTTGAATTAAGACTAAGACATTAGACATTTTAATTTGAGCTGATGTTTTATGTACAACATTACTAATAGAAATAGATACATTTTCACCATCTGAAATGTAACCATCCTGTTATTTGTAAAGGGCATTTCTCAGGAAGTCAGCTAAGCTCTATCGCTTGTTCAGGAGCGCTGATAGCGTAGCGGTTGTCACGCTCCCCTCGCCTCAGCAGCTGTGGGTTCAAATCCAACCTTGACCCTCTGCTCTCTCCTCCCAACATTTCCTGTCTCTCTTCAGCTGTCCTATCAAATAAAGGCAAATAGAGAAACGTAAATAGAACTGAATTGGTGCCAAATTCAAACCATAACTCGTCATTTTTTGTTTCAAAGGTTCAAGAAGCGTGTTCTCATCGAGCAGCTGGAAAACTTCCTGGAAGAGATCCACAACAGATCCCTTAACCTGAACCATGTGGACACGCTCTGAGACCGGCTCATTCCCGAACTGAACTTAACTGATAACGAACCCGACAACTCTCCACATCCTTCTAAATCCCCTCTTCCTCTCTTTCACCGGGACCCACGCGGAGATGGGACAAGACGACATCCAGCCCTTCAAACGATCATCTCTTTAGAGGATTCTCTGATTTATCTCAACCTGACTGAAGGTCTGGTTGGTTTGCACACAGGATGAACTAAAGACATTCTGACTCTGGGTGATGCAGGATGAAGAAGCTGCTGCAGGTGAAGCGTTGGATGTTTGTGAACTCATCCTGAGGCGTTCCCCTTCAGTATCCTCCTCCCCTGAGTCGATCTTGTTCTTTTTTTTTTTTTTTTTAAAGAGTCAAATGTAATCGGTGGATAAACTACAGAGGAGTGTAGGACTTGTCATGTTACAATTACGATGATGTTATGTCCTGACAGTGTGGGGAAAGGGTTCAGGGTTGTGTGTCAACCAACTCAGGGTCAAACAGGATCCAACGGAAATTCTCATGAAACACTTTCCTTCTCTCATGCCTTTTCCACTTTTCCCTCCTCTGATGTGATTCTGCGGTTTTGTTCCGTGGGAGGATGAGAGTCTGTCGTCCTTTTTTTAAAATCTACTTTCTACACTCCACTAACAGAAGCACTCCACTGCTGTTAAAAATAAAAGGTATGACTTAGCTCAAGTATTAAATTTGTCAACTTGTGGTTAACCTACCAAACTGACGATTAATATTATTGAGTAGAACTTAAGAATATATTAAACACGTTGTCCTTCTGGGATACGAGCTGATTCATAGTTAATATTCTGTGTTTTTTTCAGAGCAAGCTGTACCAGTTAAAAATCATACGAATGATGCGACATCATAGGTTACAAATGTTGAAATACAAGAGGGAAGCGCTCAGGAACTCGCACCAATGGATTAGAATCAGCAATAACATTGGAGACACTTTTACCCCGGGTTTTTATGCTAATTTTGGCCGGAAAAAAATGCTCAAATGAAAACAGAAATTGTTGTCCCCTGAAGCGTGATGACCAGAGGTCTCAGATGCCAGCTTGTCCCAACGTGCTGGTCGCTGCCAAATAACTCAACCCACTTCCCCCCCCCTCTAACCCCCCCATCCCCCCAATCCCTCCGCCATGAATCTCAAACCAACCTCTTGTCACTTAACCGTGAATGCACTTGTGTAAATTTGAGAATGTTTATTTAATGTAATTTAAACGAAAAACTACCTTTTTGGTTCTGGAAGTTTTTGTTCTTTCTTCCAACACTATATATTTTTTTGTCAGATCTGTTCAATTTTTCTTCTCAAATATACACAAACGACCAGAATTAAGGCGTAGAGGTCAAGAGTTGATTTCAGATTCAGAGGGCAGCCCTCTTCTGTTCCCTCCCTCCTCGGACAGGGACCAAAATCTGCCATACTTGTCTTTGTTTGTGAAGAGGCCGCTACCAAAAGAGTATTTTGAATACACTGTAAAGATGTAAATAACCCTAGAGTACTATTTAAAGAGAATGTTCAGTGGAAAATGGCCTTTTTGTAAGTATTTCCATGAATAAAGTTTCTATTTTACACTGTGAAGGGCCATGTAAATAAAGTGTTCTGTAAAGATGTGACTCTTTGTGTTTCATTCTGCGTTATTTGACTAACAGACAATAAAGCACCAAAACGCCGCCAGTGTAAAAACATGTAATAAAATTTTATTTACAGACATGTACAAAAATAATGTCCCTCTTCCTGAAGTGTCCGCGGACCCTCCTGTTGGTCCACAATAAATACCAGTAGTGAAGTCAAAGGTTGGGGTAGGAGTGGGTGTGGGTGTGTGTTTTTTAGTCTTAGGATGCTTGGTCCATCGGGTTCATCACACGGCCCATAAACAAGATGGATCCTGAAATGTTGAACACAAAAATATAAAGATTAGCAAAGAAACAATCTCTCATTTCTTTTAAAGGCATGCAACTTTTTTTGTGTATTTTTAAATTACAACTTAATAAAATCTGAATTGTTACATTTTTTTAAACGTCTTAATGCTCAGTTTTTTTTAAAAATCCGGATATTTTTGCATTCTTCTCATTCAACACATTTACAGTATGAAATCTTCAATATGGCAGTGTATTTTTTTAAGGCTACCACTAGGAGTCGCCAAATCAGACAAGTTCTTACACTTACAGCCGTAAATCGCAACTTCTTCCATATATTTCTATTCTTTTTACTATTCCCTTAAAAGCAGTTGGCTGTACCATTTATAAACCACTGTGGGTGTAATCTTTTTATCATTTAAAAAAAAAAGTTTTTTGCCTTTTATTGGACAAGACCGCTGAAGAGAGACAGGAAATGTTGGGAGGAATTAAATGGAGGCCATATCTATGAATGCAGAGTGTATAATAAATACCTGTGTTAATCTGTCGTAGTAGAAATAAAAATGGCCGGTCGGCCTTGAAAACTGGAGCGCGGGATCGTTTGAGTAGCACCATAGCTGCAAGGATCCAAAATGTATATATTAAGTGACTTCATTTCAAAACTGAGCCAAGAAAAGAATCAAATTAAAGTGACACATGTAAATCTCTTATCTCATCAAAGTGCAAAGATTCTCTTACCTGTAGCAGCAGCTGCCTTTGTCCCGTCTTCTGTGACTTCTATCGTCACTTCATGAAAAGCATCGGACACATAAAGACTCTCCTCCACTGCAGGAAGGAACAAACTGTCAGCTGATAGCGTAGCTCCAGAAATAATTGTGTCACACTTTTGTGTTTTGCTTTTTGTTAAGTGGTGGGCACAATCAATAGGCCTACCTGATATTCCAGTGAAATCCGCTGCTGATGGATTGAAGGCGTCTCTGATGCCCATGGCGGGAAGCACTGACCTCAGGTTGAACTTGTTCTGCATTTTGAACCTTTGAGGACCAAAAAAGAAAATGGTAAGTACATTATTTAAGATAGAGATGATGAAATGTGATCCTAGAAATCTTCCTTAAAAGGGTCTTATGGTATCAACCTGGGTAAGAAAATGTCCATCTTGGTTCTACGCAGGCCGGTGTACCAGGAGGCCAGGTGGCGAGCGGTGAGCTGGGACTCGATGGAGGACAGCGGCGTCTTCCTCTCGCTGGGCAGGATCACCTGTAGGCTCAGGGAACGGTCCAGGTACGGCAGCTCCAACACGGTGTAACGCTGATCCAACGCTGTCCTAAACTGACCTGAAGAGAAAGACATCAAGTTCAGGTGCGCAATTCTTCAACTGATTTATTTATTCCTTCATTTTCATTGGTCGATCAAACAAAAAATGTACAAACATGCATGTTCGAAAAGACTTGATCCTTTCACTTTTCATACTAAGGTCGAATAATAACTTTTAAACTACTGACTCTTCTTTTTTAAATCAACTTCAGCTGCACCCTCGGTCAAATGCTAACATGCTTCACCATGGCAGTAAACATTTTACCTTTTAAACATCAGTGAACATACATCATTCATCTTGGTAATTGTACTCCAATTGACAAATGGCAAATGGTTTATGGTGTATGTGTATGGATTTATTACAGTGTTTGTAATGTACTTTATTGTTTTGTATTTCCAAACTGTAGTGTGTTGTGGTTTTATGATACTAAAAGCGGTTTATGGTAATGACACTATACAGTCACTAACTCAGCTATGAAAAAGGGGTTACAAATTTGAATCAAATATACTTCTCTTGTGGAACTTTTTGCATTCCTAGCAATCAAATACATCAGTTTCAAGACACAAACATTTGCATTGTACTTGTGAGCATGTTAGCTTGTTTGCATTAGCATTGCTACTTTAAGCGATGTAATGAAGGAGTACTCGGTTGACAACGCTGAGATTTTACCTGAATTAGAAACATTTAAAAACTTTAGAGGCTCTTGGCTCATTTTGTAAAGTAGCATACAGCCTTCATGCTGTAAAGCTAGAAGAGTACTGGCTTAATTGCATTCAGCATATTAAGGTTTCTCAAACTATAGCCTATGCAGGACATTTGATTTGTACTAGATTCAAGTGGTTTATTCCAACACTTGTGTAGGCTTAAATTTAATATTTCACAAAAGAGAAAAAAAAGGGGATATTTTTTTCAGACTTGTATGGTTTTTTTAAACTAATGAATGAATGAATAGATGATTGGATGTTGCTGCTTACCAAAGCTGACCTCTGTCGCCTGATACATCATGGGCACCTTGATGGCGGTCCCGTCAGACAGGATAAAGGGCAAGTTCTGTGTGTTGGTGAACAAGAACTGTTTCTGCCAGACGCCCCTGAACGTCACTTTGTTGACCAGCGCCATCTGCAGCCTGTGGCCCCACCACAGAGTCTCCACCTGGGGCTCACCGGACCCTGACAGCTCCCCGCTGCTGCTTCCTGACTGGAGAAGCATCTCATCTGAGAGGCAATGAGGAGAGGGCAGAGTTTAATGTAAAGGGCATGTAGTCTGCGTCTCACATCTTAAAAGTCAGCAGCCTCTGGACTAATGACTAATGTTGTTCTGATTCACTGAACACAAGAAAAACATTTTCTGTATACAGGGACTTGAGGCTGATGGACAGATGTAATAACTTTAAAGTAAAGACAACAGGAAATGCAATGACACTGAAGATTTGAGTATATACATTAAAATCTTATGATGCACATGTGCCTCAGAAAGGGGGTCAAGACCCACCGTGCAGCTCAGGGTCACAAGATGATGAACAGGAAAAGCACGCTGGAAAACATTTTCCTCCTCACCTTATCATGTTTATTTTTGCTAGATATTAATCTTAATTAAATAATTTGGTCTATATCAAATATTTAATTGAATATTAAGTACTTTATCTGAGAAGTGACCAACAATTTTAACACAAAAGATGGAGAGCTTAAGATATAAGGGCGAACACTCCCATAAAGTTCTGCAGCAGAATGCAGTTTGCCCTTGTATTGCCCTCATATTTAAATATTAGTAAGAACAGTGTGTTGTAGTTACCAACAACTGTTTAAAGATGCTGAAAAAATTCACTCCAGCTGCATGGTGCTTTTAGCATGAGTATGTAATTAGAGTCTTTTTGCAATGTGGCAAATCTGAGGGGCCACATTTGCACCTGTTGTTTGTAGGAATATTGCCCGATGTGAATTCATGCCAACAGAACCTGGCACTGTTACGCTATTTGCAGAGAAACACAGTGAGGGGTGAGCATTTCAACCTTTGCATAATCTGAGAATAAACCAAAAAGTGAATGCACAAAAAAAAAATCCCTAAAAAAGAAGCTTAAAGACGCTAAAACATAACTTTGATAATTCTAGACATAGACACTATGCAAAAATATAAAACACAAAACCCTTTCATATATCGTGCTTATTTCATTCTTTTCCCATGATGAAAATACCGATTCCTTTCAAATGATAAGACCCTGCTGCTCACCGTGGTTCGGTCTCACTCGCTCCGGCTGGCTTGGGGTGTTGTTTGGCTGGCTGAAGTTGGCTCGGACCACGCTGGTGTTGGCCCATGCTGCTGCGTGTTGCGTAAACTCTGTGAGGAGCTGGATGCCGCTCTGTATTAATAGTGTGCAGGTCTGCTGCAGCCACATCCCGTGGCTGGTGTTACTCTCATCAATCTGTGAGTGCATCAGGAAGTCTTGCACCTGGGCGTCTGCATGAAAGAAAGGCGCAGAGGAGAGGTCAGATGTGGTGGCATGTTATAAGACGAAAAAAGGAAAACTTCAGTTTGAACTTTTTTTTTAATCTGTAAAGGACAAGTGTGCAGGACAAGGTCAGTATTTACACCACAGAGCTGCGAGCCACTTCAATGGTTTAGAAGAAGTTACTGTATCTGTGATCTGCTCTGACATCTGATCATCAGCACAATCAGAAAATATAATTCTAAACACTCTCTCGACTTTTTAAACCGTCTCTACAACAGAGAAATCTTTCACTCGATTGAGTTAACTCAACAGTCTCTCAACAGTCTCTGGTTCATTTCAGCGGTAAATCAACTGAATTTGCAACAAATCCCTGCGGGACGAAACAAACAAACAAACAAACTAACGTTCATTTGATTAATCTTAACTTCCCCTTACTGAGTCTGGTGATCCCCACAGGGCACAGGAATCTTTTCATTCTCAGTCTTTCCTGACTGCACTGGAGTCATTATGAGCAGGTAGAAGCCGTCAGTTGTAGCGTTCTCTTGAGCTTGAGTTTTCCTTTTCTTTCTTTCTTTTCTTTCCTACTTTTCAAATATGGATAAACGGATTTCTTGGGGGAAATATCCCCATATTCTTGTTTTATTTCTTCTTTTTCTTTGAGGAAAGTTCCCGTAGCGACTTTCTTGAATTGTCATTATTATGTTATAATAAATAAAATGAAGAGCAGCCATTGTTAAAAAAAACTTAGTAGCAGCGGTGCCGGTATTGTAGTGACCTCAAGGTGGGCGGACCCTGGTTCCAATTTGACCCGTGGCTCCTTTCCCACATGTCAGTCCCACTCTCTCTTTCCATAATTGCTCACCCTGTCCACTGTCCTTTCTGCTATCTACTAAAAGGCATACAAATAAACCTTAAAAAATAGTAAATGAAACTGATCCTGAGGATTAGGATCATGAGGTCACGGGTTATTTCTACCCAAAGATGGCATCTTTCTGATCCAGTGGTGCTGAATTTAACAACAGACCAAACTGAGCTTTTTTATTTATTTATCTTTTTACAAATTTTCAAATACCCCATGCTCGAGCTGATACAACGAGCCAATAAACTGAAAGTCAATTCACAGAAAACATATCTGCTAACTACTTTTGATTATTGCTTATTAGATCAACGGTTGCTGTCAGAGTTGTCAGATCTGATAATGTTCTGCCTATTACTGTTTACTGTAAATCATAACAAATAAATCAAGTTTTGAATTTGAATATTGGATTAAAAAAAATGGATCCAAGTTGTCAACCAGATTTTAGAGAATCTTCCTGGCATAAAGACATTTGATGTTTATCATAATGATAAAGGCAGCTCAGGTTATTTGAAAAGTATTGAAAGACTTTCTTTTGGGGCTGATGGAAATAGTTTCAGGAGAAAGCTAACATGTATGAAAATAAACTTTTAACGTTCACATCTTCCCCTGGTGACTTACATTAAAGATAACATTATGAAGCGAACAGCAGCTCCCTTTTCTCATTCAGTTAGAAATGAAACGCGGTGACCTGTCGACCCGGAGGCCGAGCTGCAGGAGTGGTTAATGAGATTAGAGTTGGTGTGGAGGCAGGTATTATGGCTCCAGACACCACTGTGCTCTGCAGGGCCCGAAGCAGCTGCAGCACCGCTCCACACCACCTGGTACCAACCGCACTGAGGGCCACCAGCATCCCCTCACAGCACGACGAGCAGCCAATGCTGAATGAATGAATACATCAAAACTTTGGGATGAATCCTACCGTTCACATTGTATCCCAGCGTTCCCTCAAGCTGAGCCAGTGTGTTGCCCCTGGCACCGAACTGCAGCAGCCCCAGGGACAACGAGACGCTCACTGGCGACACGATGAGGTTGGAGCTGTTCTCGGCCTCTGTGAGCGTGTGGTAGAGACTGACGGCGAACCTGGTGTGCAGCTCTCCCATGCTGTCCTGCAGGCTGCCGTCACACTGGCTCCTCTCCACCAACCAGAAGCAAATGAAGAGTGAAGCCACCGGCAGGCGACGCATGACCTCTGAGCTGCAGGAGGGGAAATGTGTCCTCAGGGTGCAACAGGTTGCCCAAAAAACTAAATCCTGTAAGCCCGAGAGAAAGAAAGGGAATTCACTGAGGTCAGTGAGGTCAGCTAACAGGAAACTATTCACTTTGAGTGGATTCTGAACCAGTAAGGAGAAAATATGAACATTTTCAAAGACAAACCCTGAGAATTTAAGTATGGGAGTTGAACTGTTTTATCTGATGTGATGGCACAATATTGAAACACATCAAAAAAAAAAAAACGTCCTCAACATGAAATCATATGTGGCCCTGCGTGCGATTGCTATACCATCATCTATATTTCATTTTATTTCATAATCTATTCTTTGCACTCAACAGGAATGAAGCTTGATGTTATGAGAACTAAATATCTTAAGATGAATTGGCATGAATTTATTTGAATGTTGTCAATGGTTAAAATAAAGTTAAAGTTTAACTAAATTGTTTTATAACTTCTATCTGCTTCAAAAAAAAAGAAAAAATCCACATGCAGTGTTGATGTGAATATATCATTAAATATGAATGAGCAACAAAGCAAACAGCTGAAGCAATTATGTCCAGAAAAAAATAAATCTAACAGCAGTGGGAAAAAAAGAAGTAAAATATGGCAAAATCTGAACAGTCTAAGCACACTGATGATAAGTGGTTTAACATTACTGTGGAGACAATATTGATCAGGCATATTATATAATATGTGCAGAAACAGAAGTCTACAGATACCTCACAGCAACAGAGATGGAAGAAACACCTGCCTGAGTGCTTTGCCTTTAAAGAGTATTGGGTACTTTTACTTTTGCTCTATGTGATTCATTTCTATGCTGAACTTTAATTGTAGATTCACTGCTTCACATTATCTATACTGTAGACTAAAGAGAACATAAAGCAGATGAAAATAAAGTCACTTTTGTTTAAGAGAAACATGAACATGTAAGTTACATGTCAATGCATGACACAATGTTAATACTTTAATATATTAAATATATTTAATATGAATGTCATAGTATGACGGTAGGCTCATTGGATATTACATAAGGATGATGTTCTGCATAATTAGCACTTTTACCAAAGTGTACTGATGCTACTTCATTTATACTTTGACTCCAGTTTAAAAGAATGCATATTTCACTTCAAATACAGACTTTTAGATTTGTATTTTGCAACTTTCACCAAAGTCAAGGATCACTCTCTCACTGCACTGCATAATGGATGAACTTAAAGTAGCCTATCTCACTAAAATAGAGAATCCTATTGAGTGCTCCAGACTCTCAGGTACATCTTATGATCTTATTAGAAAGAGGTACAGCTGTGGTCCTACCTGCAGACAGGTGAGATAGTATCCGTGTAACTCCAGCTGTTTTCTCAGTCTGGCTCCAAACATTCAGCCTCTGCAGGGGAGCTGTGTCCTGTGTGTCCCCGGCTCTCACAGTCACTGACACTGAAGGAGTCCTCTGCTGTCCCGGGCAGTCTCTGCTCTGTGCTCCGGTTCTCCGGTCGTCTGACCTGAAGCAGTCTGTAGTCATAAGACCGTGTTTAAAGGGGAACGCTCCGCGCCGTGTTTGTGGTCTCCGTCGGCGATGTCCGTACCACTCGTCCGGGATTCCTGCCTCTCCGGGGCTATAAGGAGCCAGGCAGAGGGAGGCATGTCTCTGACCAGCAAATCCCAAACCGGGCAGAGGGAGGGAAAAAACAACAACACGTCACTCATGGAGCCTATGCACGTTGTCTGAAAATATTCGAGATGGAAACTAATAATAAACACAACACTACTAGTAAAAAAAGTTATTTGGGCTTCTTTTGAATGTTTTCCTTTAAAATAATAATGAGTGTCTCATACATCAGAAAAGAGCTTTACTGGCCAAGTATGCTCACACATACCAAGGGGCCAAGTTAGAGTGGGGTCTATAGGGGTCCTTCGTGGAGAAAGAAAAGGGAAGAATGATGCCATATTCTGCATTTTGAAACATTTAAAAATCAAAGGCAGAATGGGAACTATTTCTCGATCAGTCGGAAAATCTGAGGAAACCTCCGTGAAATCATGCAAAATTCAACTGCTAATTTTCCTGTATTTGAAAAAAAAATCTGAACTCTTCCATACTTGAAATAATATTTATCATTACTTGTATAATAATTTTAATACTAAGATGCATGAACAATCCTGTCTGATTTAAAAAAAAAGAGCTGAGGGGGCTCCAGCCCCCCCCCCCAGTCTGAATGGAGATGACGCCTCTGTATGTGATTATGTAACAGATTTACATGAAGTAGACAGTTCATACAGTATTCACATTAAGACAGTGTGCATTGATTGATGTCAGGTGAGAAGGTTAAGAATATTTACAAGATTCAGTGACCATAAAAAGTGCATAAATATTCTGATTTACGTTCACAGTGGGTGTTATTGCACAGTGACAGTTCTGACACTCTGTGACACCATGTGTGAAGTGTTCATCAGAGTGACAGCCTTGGGGAAGAAACTATTCTTGTGTCTGGTTGTTTTGGCACACAGTGATCTGTAACGCTCTGTTCGATTAAAATAAACAGGCAGTCAAAATGATGAGTTAGGTTATTGACTGACATCTGAATTTCTCTGTCTCTGAGAGTTTTACCTCCATCCCTATTTGAACTTTAACCTTTCTGCTCACAGGACTTTTAATATCTCTTTTGTCGACACTACTACAAATGCAATTTGAAAGAGACAGCTCTTTGCATGTTGTTGCTCAATTTCACATTTAATATTGGGCCGTGATTCTGTGAAGATATATTCAATAAATGGCCAATTTCTTCAGGTTACAAAATATGATAAAGAGCACTCTGTAGGAGCCTTTGAAGTGGAGATAAGGTGATGAAACGCTCTTCTTAGACCATCGTATGTCTTGTCAGTTGACTAAATATTACAAAGTGCACTTTAAGATGCCTTTCGGATCCTTTCAGATCTAGTGCTCTGACATTGGCGATATAATTAAAGTGCCAGGATGTTGTTTATAAAAGAAAACTGGATAGTTACTTCTATGTTGCCCTTCCAGTAGAAAACAACTTAGTCAAGGGCACTCTTCAGGGCCTCAGTTGAGAAAACACATTAAGACACCTTAAAAATGCCCTCTCTAAAAACCTCTGTGTTGTTACATATATTGGTAGGAACAGTATAAAGCACCTCCAGGCCTCTAGTGGAGAAAACAGCCTTAATTTCTGTCTGGGTTTACCATTTAGGGAAGATTTTTAAAAAGCCTTTTCGGTTTGAACAAATGATGAAATGCCCTGACCTTTAGAGTGGAGCAAACATGTTTAAGTACTTTTTATTATATCATCCCTGAGGAGCATACACAATCCAGTGATATCTTTGTCTGTCTTTTCTCTTTACTCTTTTATGTCATTGGATTGGGAAAATTTATTTGTCTGAAAATGTCCCCACAAATTGTTCCTACTCTCTTTGCAAACACATTTTCTAACTGCCAACACAGCTTTATAGTTCATGATTCAAAAACAAATCCAGACCACTTCAAAGGAACACTAAGGAGAGAAAAGACATTGAGCAAAATGTTCGTTTATTGTGACATCGTTTGTCATTTCTTATGTCATAACCACACCATCACTTTCAGGTAATTCTGTTTTCTATCTTTGTGTCAGTAGAAATAGCGCTCGACTCCTGTGAAGTTGGAGCAACAAATAAACAGTTTATAATAGTTCTTTTCATGCACATGCAGACTAAGATATCTGCTCTGTTTACACAAGTCATTTGGCCTTTTGTTGCGATGATCAAAAGACATTTTCTGCCCCGAGCGTCACTGCTGCGTCAGCATTTCTAATTGGTATCTCTGTGGCATGTGGACGCACTCATCATGGACGTGTTGCTGCTCCTGCATGTGGAGAGAAATAGCATCTCAGACATCAAATAAGATAATATCTTCTGCACATAACAGCTCTTCTGGTTTCAAGAAAAATCAGAATAAGAATCAGAATCAGAATCAGAAATACTCTATTAATCCCAGAGTGGGCATTTGGTCGTTACAGTTTCTCTCTACAGGCCTCTGGGACCAGGGGCGTGTCCAGAGGGGTGGCATGGGCCCACTTTGAAATGGATTGGCCACCCCAAAATTTAATTTTATTTTTGACCCAATTTTATTTAGACAGGGCAACGTTACAATCTACAAGATCTTCCTCAGGCCATTAAAAGAGGCAGGACTTCAATTAAAATCAACAATTCAGGCTGCATTTCAAGAGGCCTCTTTTTTCTCTGATATGATTTTTCTTGTTAGTAATTTAAGTTGTAAATCTGACATCAGCTTCACTTCAGTAAAGAGGCCACGTCCATTTCTAATATAGGGTTTGTGGTTGTCAATACTCGTCCCATGTAAGCCTTTACCGTGAACTTTTCATTGTTTCATTTGCTGTTAATCATAAACACTCATCCGTCTTTATGAAAAGTCAATTAAATGATTCATCTTTAATGACGGTATGGCCTGTGTTTCACCTTAACTCCATCTGCATTGGAGCAATCTGCCCTCAACTGTCCCTCTTAATTGGGGACATGAAAGACAGCAAAATAAACTGCGTGCATTTTTTCCCATGAAGAAGAGAACATGATTGGTAGCCATCAGGTATTTGGCTGCTTTGTCTGACGAGGGATTCCGGCCATTACTGGACTTGACTCATTAGCGGAGCCACGGCTTGGCTTCATTAAACGCACTCGCCACATTCTTTAACAGGAATTTGGATTTTTAAGGCCTGGGGACGGAGGAGATGGACGAGATGTCACGGTAACTGACCAAAGACAATCGTTTTGAAAAGATGCCACCACAAACAGCAGCTTTCATCTTGGCGGTTTGTGAGGCCTTTGAAGGAACGCTGCGTTTGATGTTCATATTTTAGAAGTAGAAATAATGATTTGTGCTCTCTGTTTCTGATCTCTGGACCGACTGCTTTACAAGTTGCCGCAGTTGTGAGGGTCAGGGTAAAGGACAAACTTACTCAACAGTGTCACTCTGTATGTGTGGAACAACGCTCTGGAGGCCAGGGCCCAACAGAACCTGCTAACGATAACCATTCTTCACATCTCTGCGCAGGTAATTCTGCAATATGCTGAAGTAGCGATCTGGCAGGACGACCACTTTGTCCAAGCTCCTGTAGTTCACGACAGATCTGTTCTGACTAGGGAGGTTTAAAATATCAATACAGCAATATATCGTAGTCCTGACTTGTGTGATACAATTATTAAATCACTGGTGCCAAACTAGTCGCCTGCTAATTCAACCTCTTTGAGTCACCACTGCAGGACTCGTCATAATGGCGCATGTTACATAAAGGAGGGCAATGTGAACTAAAGGTAATTGGCCCAAGAAGAAGTTACAAGCAGGATGGAATAAAAAGATGGCAGCAGGAAAATGTTGGACTGATGATATGAGATTCCTGTTTATATTTTTTTTCCTGTATGGTTGTTTTGTGTTTTTTATGCTCTTGGTTGAAGACAGATTCCCCTCAGGGCAATAAAGGTTTCATTGAATGACATGAAATGGTAAGAACTGAGGTGTCCCCCTAACTTCTACTCCTCTACTATTCTCAGGCTCACCATCAATCTGGAAACAGAACGTATTCAATAATAAGCAATGAAAATGTGTTTTGGTTTTAAGTGCACATGCACGCTCGACCTTCACTGAGCAGTATTTTTGAAGTTTCTTGGCTGTCACTTTAAATATTAAGAAAGCTCCTGTATGTTAGAGCATTTTTTTGTACCATCACAACTTGTTTGGAAGTATTATCATTAACAATAAAGTGAGGTTGAAACTAGAAGCCTCCAAAGCACACACACTAAGACTGAACTTTTTTTTTAAATGATAAAGACCCTTCAGACTTTGCACAAACACTGAAGCTCAGTTGTTCCTTTCATCATGTCGGGATCAATATTTGGAGTGAAAATATGACATGAATTGCAGTATTCACCGCATAATTTGCTGCACATTATTGTAGTTATTTCAGTTGAACCTCAAAGGGAAGAGTGGATGTTTCAGCTTCTGCTGGGTCGTCGATGAAATGTCCTTAAGTGACACAAATACTTACGGGTTCACCGGTTCATGTGTTGTCAGTTGTTGTTTCCAGGAGCTTATCATGACTTTGTGAGAGTTTTTCTTTCTCTTAACAAAATATCCTCATTGATGAGTGTCTGTGTGACTCTGCGATGCCTCCACCTTTCTCCACACAGCAGCAACTTAATCCCTCACTAACGGAGACTGTCCCCAGGCTCTCCATTCAGACCCCAGTCCCCTCTCCCACACCTGACCTTTGACATCGTGGGGAAAGTGACAATGCATAGAGGAGGAGGAGGAGGCTGGAGGAAGGACCGGAGGGGGGGGTTACAGAGTCCAACAGCAACAAATCCAAGGAACTCTCTGTGTTTAGTTACAACTGAAATAAAAGAAGAAGAAGTTGTGGAAAAGGAGAAAAAAGGAGCAAATCCAACTACAGAAAAATTAAACGTCACACAGAGTTGCCACCAAAGCAAATATCTGTAATTCTAGAAGCGCAGTCACTTTCTATAACTGGATAAATATTTCTGAAATGAAAATATCAACTTATTCTTGAGTCAGATCCAGTCTGATACTTTTGAAAATAACCACCAAGTTCCCCAGAAATCAAAGCAAAAGTAGTCCGGCTCCCTTTGTTTACCTTCATGGCTTTACTTGATATAACTTGATAAAACCTGGATAGTAAGTCAATAAAGACTCAGCTGTTTCAATTAACTCTGGATTAGAGAGAATTCATGGGATCGTTGGACATCATCAGAGCCAACTGAAGTGCTCAGTATGATATGAAACTACATGGATATTGGAAAAATCTGAGCAAAGACCACAGAGAGCAGACGAGCCTGTGAATCTCAATCTGTGATTCAGGCTACAAAGATTGTGGATAGCTGTTTGCTTTTCTGTCTTTTCGTTTGTTATTGATCTACCGTAGAGGGAGCTCAATGTGTGCAGCACTGGAGTCCAAGACAAATTTACCCAAGGTGACAATAAAGTGTACTGCCATATCTTATCACATGGTATGATATGGTATCATGTTAAATTGTATGTTGTCAGAGACATTAACCAGCTCCTTTTGACATGTTTTATAAATGCACTGAAGGTTAATATTTCTGTATGTATGACACGGTACAGCACTCCAGCTTATCATCTTAAAAACGCATAAAAAATCCTTAATGTGTGTCCTCTGTTGCAATGGAGGGTGGGTTGATGGTTTGAGTAAGGAAGTGGATCAGTGCAACAGTGTTGTTACATAACATATTGTAATTTAACCGTTGTTTCGCCTAGCTTGGCTTCGTTTATTGTGTTGTATCTTACTGTATCGAGTAACGCAACGCATCCCACCACATCCAATCGCATTCCATCATGCCCACTGTACTGTATGCTAACTTACATTTTATGTAGTATATCGTATGGTAGCATGTTGATTGTATCATGTTGTAAAAAGGAGAACAGAAAAAGAAAAGAGCAACATCAGGAACATTTAAGAGAAGTTAAACAACAAAAGGAGAATGACAGCAACAATTAGAAAACAATCAAATATAATCAAGTCACAGTAAAGTTAAATGAATAACATTTGACTTACTAGAATTCAAAAATAGTAAAAGTTTTTTATTTCAAATTAATTTAAAGTACTGACTAATAACTATGGAGGTAGGGGGAGGGGTTGAAAAGTAAAATGTGATCTCTCCTTCCTGTGAAATAAAAAAAAAAGGACCAAAGAAAATGACTCTCCAACCAGGTTGTTAAATTAAAGAAACACCTTCATAATCATGTGCAATGCAAGGTGTCATCACGCTCGATCTGTGCTTCTGTGGTACGTGTGAGCCGATCTACCAACAGACAGGTGTAGCTGACGGAAAGCTTGAATGTACTTTTTTCATTTTTTTCACTCAGCAATGGATGCTATTTTAAAATTTAACAATTTAGAAATTCCACGAAAAGTATACTTAAGTGTTATTACTTTAGTGACTGTCCACCCCTGTGTAAGCGTTGCCATGAGTAACATGTCTTGGTGGTGTTAGAAAGCTGCTGTGAAAGTTAATATTATTAATATTTAAAGAGAAGACGAGGAATAAGATAGAGCCAGCAAGCAAGAAGAAAGGAGGCAATGAAGAAGAGAACTACAAATTAAGAGGAAACATGGACAATAGATAAATTAAAGAACTACATGAGTCTAAATTAAAGGTGGATTGGTGTCAGAGTTCAGTTCTGAAGCAGAGATGCACTGAGGAGTGCTGACCTGAGATTGACTGACTCTTTCTGCTTCACCTCCGCTGCCCTACTTCCCTGCAGGCTGCTGGCCTTCGGGGCGGTGCAGGCGGGGAGGATTAGAGGGGATGCTGGTGTGCAGGGCCGGGCCAGGCTGCAACAACGCCAGCAGCGCTCAGAGCCGGTGTCGCCAGAGAGATCTGCCAGGTACGCCATGGAGGATTAGAGCCAGTAGTGCTGGCACTGGGAGAGGGGGCGACGTGAGGAGACACGTCCCACGTAGCCCTCATCTCTCCCTGGAGCTCTGCATGGCTCCGAGGAGGCATGGGAAATATGCTGGTGGGCTGTTTTGAATATAAGAAAGTGGATGGTGTGTCAGTCAGCTGATGAACACATGGAGGAAATACTTGAGAAATAATACACATTCTCGGCTGGAAAAAAACAAAACAAAACAACAGTGCAGGGACAGTTTTATATCATAGATATGTGTTGTCACTTTGACTTTTTGAGGTTTGGTAGATGGTTAAGTAGTTGTAGGAACAGTTTTAGACCTTTCTGTTGCACTATAGCGCCATCTGCTGAAACATTCTGCTTAGGTAAAAATACTTTAAGTTTGAGTTCAGGTCTGTGAAGATGGAGAGTTATACAGGCTCTCAGGGGAACTTAATTACAGATGTCAAAGCTGTATATTTAAGAGTATAAAATGACAATAGAAATATTCATTCTGTCACATTTCAGCATTCAAATTAAGTCCCACTTAACTTCTTCACTTATCCGACATCTGGCCTAACTGACCACACGGGTGAAATCTTGAGGCAAACAGCAGCTTTGGGATTAAATTTTCCTCTTAAGAAGTTGCCGCTCACACGTTGGACTTCTTTTTCTTTCATCTGGAAAGACCTCTTAGTTGTTTCCCCTTTGTGAGAAATGATGTCACATACAGCTCGCTACCCCATGCAGCAAGCACATCGCCTCGCCTCATTGATTTGTACCAGGTTGTGGACCTGAGCATCATCTTAAGAAAACAACTGAAAATGACACGTTATCACTGGAAAACAGGGTACATAAAATGTATGGATACATTTCTGCTTAGGGCTTAATCTTTTGCATATGCACAGATAAACAAAACCTAAAACTAAATATTGTTAATTTACTGTTCATCATTAGGGCTGCTGGACCTTTTCTTGCATTTTCTCTTGTGCACGAGTCTGTAAAAGTGCTCAGTTCTTTACAAAAACAAGTTACTCTAAAAAAATAAAATAGTCCTAAATCAATTAAAAACTTTGTTCAAAATATCTCAAACATGACCACAGATCTCTACATCTCATCTTGATTTATTTTCCAGACTTCTTCTTGTATCACCTCTGCACTGTGGGAACAATAAATAATACCCCTTTCAGTGTGTTGATTGGTTGGTGATGATGTCACCTATTCAGGCCTGCGGGGAGACTTCGCCATGGCGACCGCTATGGTCCACTGTTATTGGATTGCCCTCTTCAGACTGCACAGAGACCTCACAAGGAGACTCACACCTGTTGAAGAGCTCAAAGAGTAGAGAGAGGGGGATTTCATAGACTGAGCTGAAACACACAGACTTACCCAGACTTAGAGGAGACCTCAGTGAAACACACAGAGACCAGACTCAGAGGAGACCTCAGTGAAACACAGAGACCAGACTCAGAGGAGACCTCAGAGAAACACAGAGACCAGACCTCAGAGGAGACCTCAGTGAAACACACAGAGACCAGACTCAGAGGAGACCTCAGTGAAACACAGAGACCAGACTCAGAGGAGACCTCAGAGAAACACAGAGACCAGACTCAGAGGAGACCTCAGTGAAACACACAGAGACCAGACTCAGAGGAGACCTCAGTGAAACACAGAGACCAGACTCAGAGGAGACCTCAGTGAAACACAGAGACCAGACCTCAAAGAAACACAGAGACCAGACTCAGAGGAGACCTCAGTGAAACACAGAGACCAGACTCAGAGGAGACCTCAGTGAAACACAGAGACCAGACTCAGAGGAGACCTCAGTGAAACACACAGACTTACCCAGACTCAGAGGAGACCTCAGTGAAACACAGAGACCAGACTCAGAGGAGACCTCAGTGAAACACAGAGACCAGACTCAGAGGAGACTTCAGTGAAACACACAGACTTACCCAGACTCAGAGGAGACCTCAGTGAAACACAGAGACCAGACTCAGAGGAGACCTCAGTGAAACACAGAGACCAGACTCAGAGGAGACCTCAGTGAAACACAGAGACCAGACTTAGAGGAGACCTCAGTGAAACACAGAGACTTACCAGACTCAGAGGAGACCTCAGTGAAACACGGTGATGCAACTTCAGGGCCGACTACCTGTGGAGTACCTGGGGGTCAAAAACTTTTGATAAAGCTTTACACTTATCTTAGGATCATCTATGATTAGGTGAATGGTATTATGACTACATAAATACACATTTTATTACTCTTCATCTAATTGTCTTCTGAACTTCTTAAAGATAATATTTCTCTTTGACTTACAGCAAACATTTAGCTCTAACTTGTTATACTGCCAGCAACATAACTTTCTTTTGGCTGAGTCCTAATGAGTTACAATAAGTTCACATTAGATTGTTAGTAAGTACCAGACTTTAACCCTCCATTCCAGCAGGGGGCAGCGTAGTTATGATAGTGACCCTCCTAAAAACACACCTGTGAACTTTTGTTTGACACATTTGGATGGCAGCCGAAGCCACAACAACAGTTTCTTAAACTCAAACACAATCTGGGGAAATTCATAAACGTCAAGAATCAGCGAGGGATGGGGAACTTTGAAGACCAGGAAGGCCACATGCCCTTTAACCTCAGAGCTCGAGGGCCACATTTTTACAAGTTGTAGTATACTTTGAATAAGCCGATTATGAACACTTATAGTTTAATAAAATGACAAATACATCACTTTCATCAATGAATATTTCTTAAACCCAAATTGCAAATAGTAATGTTTCATTTCATGAATCAACACAGACACATTTTAAACACACACACACACACTTCAGGTCAGAGTGTGTCATGTTGAAACTCAAACTCAAAGTTAAGCTGCTGAAGCTGCAGAGAGGTGTCAGCAAACCACTTTCATTGTCCTCGTTTCTTTATTTACAAACCTTCAAGGATTCTGCATGCAATAATAAATAATCTGTTTTTTTTTAACGTAGCTGTAATAACAGTAAAAGAAGAGAAGCTACTTGAAGCCTTCAGACTCTAACCTGCGGTCGATTATTATTTAGATGTTCCAGCGACTCACTGCAAACACAACAGATATTCAAATATTAATGAAGCATTTTATATGCTCCAATTAAAGCTTTTATCATAAGAGTGGATAAAAAAAGAACATTATAAACAAAATAAATATGCAATATAAAAATGTCATAACCTTGGGCAGCAACCAACAGTATCTATTTTCATTATAGATCAATTCATCAATAATTTCCCCAATAAAACAGACACATGTTTAGATCATAAAAGGCTTCAAATGTCAATCAGAGGGCGTCCTCAAGTAGTGCGTGATTTATGTGGAAACAACAGGAATATATTGAGTTCAATGTCACGGAGGACTTTTCAATATTTCATTTAATACTGAAAAGTTGAAATTTGAGAATTTTGAAAGCTGAATGAAAAACTATTCAACTGATTCATTATTATTATTATTATTTGTCAGCTAATCAATTCATGGAATAATCGATGGAGCTTTTTTGACAGGAAAAGTTTTAAAGTTACGTTGAAACGGTTGTGTGTCGCACAAGCACATTTATTGAGAGTATATCTGTAACAGTTCTTATTTGACCTTTAAATGTGTGTCTGCTTTTACAAACATAGAGCTTTAAAGCTTAAATCTACACGCAAAAAGATCAACACTCACTAATACACAAGAACATAAAAAAAAGTTTCTGCTTCACTCAAGTTTCACCACCAGGGGGCAGAGTAGAGCTGTGTCAGTACTGGACAGAGTGAGTCCTCTCAGCTTACAACATAAATCAAATGTAGAATTCTTGTTCTTCCTCTTCTATCACCTTTTCTTCTTCTTCTTCTTCTTCTTCTTCTTCTTCTTCTATCTGTGCGCTCATAATGCTGCAGCTGTCCAAGTGGTTTATGGACACATCGCTCAGAGACGGAGCAGCAGTTGGGCTGATACTGGGGCTGCTCATACAAGACCCTATCAGGGTGGAGGGAGTGCTGCTGTTGCTGAAGCTGTTTGGAGTTCGTCTGAATGAGGCTGATTTATAAATGTTCTCCGGGATGCAGGGAGAAAATGAGCTTCTGAAGTCATCTGACTGTGCCGATGACGGCCGAGGAGTCTGTGGCAGGCTGGATTTGATGTATGCAGACACCACTGAGAGGTCCACGTTGCTGCCCGGGTTTACTTTGTCCCCTGTGTCCACATCCGTCTCCTCCGCCCCGACCAGAGCGTCCACATTGAGCTTAAATGGCGGGATAAGGGAGCCGCGTCTGTTGAAGGAGTGGGTCCTGTGATGGAGGCTGGGAGAGGGACCAGGGGAGGAGCAGGTGGAGTGGGAGCTCCCTGAGCCCAGGTTTGGTAGAGAGAAGAGGGATCCGGATCTGTGGCCCCTCCACTCAGTCCTCCAGCTGTCGGGATAGTGGCGGTCCGTCCACTGCTCCTCTTCGTCCAGCTCCTCAAAGGTCAGGGTGTGGGAGCTGTGGGGGGTCTGGTGGACTCTAGGGCGGGATGAAGACCGGTGGTGGTGGTGTCTGCGGGTCTTGGAGGAAGCGGAGCTGCGGGTGAAGGTGGATGGAGCCGAGGCTGATTCAGTGATCGAGGGGGATAAGTAGGAGGGATCTTGATAGTGTTTGAAGTGTGAGCCCTGAACCTAAAAAAGGAAGGAAGAGAAAAGCTATTAGAACATACACTCCATCGTCCTTATTTCACCTCTGATTACAGTCACAGTTTCTGCATGAAAACACAAACACCTGTAGGTGTGGGGGCCAGGTTTCTGGTTTACATGAAGCCTGGGGAGTATCAGGCTTTGAAAAGGTTTGTGTGCTGAGCAGAAGGTAAAGAACTCAATATGGCTGTAAAGCAATCCTTGGACCTCATGACATTCATCTATGGCAATCGAGCTCTAATTATTGTCTTTAAACAGATAATTGCAGCTAAAAATCCTCTCGTAGACATCTTGTCTTAACACCAAGTCCAGATTTTAAGTTGCTCGTCGATCTGTAAGCAAAAGCAATGGAAAAGAAAGTCATGGCCAGAAGTTCTTATTGATAAGCGCTGGCTAAACTTTAACAACCAAATTTCCCCCAATGGGGATCAATAAAGTTGATCTTATTTTATTTTTTCATATAGTTTCCTTGGTTGAAAGGCAGTCTGCTCTCTGCCAAACCAAATATTTAATAAAAAGGGATACTCCTCTTCAACAGCAGAGGTTTTGACTTGATATAGCTGGGAAAGAACAAGTGGAACTACAAACATTAGCATTGGCTCTAAGTGTACCACAAAGCCATGAGGGCGAGCAAGCATAAAGAAATAGCTTGGAACAGGCTAATCTAAATGGTATGCAGTTGTTTGTAGTGTTTTTGATCACACATGTAAATCCCTCCTTGATAAACCTCTATAAGCTAACACAGAAGGTGCATCGACGTCTCAGGAATGCTATTAAACCAGAAAAGTTACCAATGACACTTGATTCTAGACGTTTCTTGAAACAAGCTGAGAAGTGTTGTTTGAGATGTTTCTCCGTATGTCCCTGAAAGTTTAGTAAATAATGAGGTCACAGGGCATTCAAAGAAAGGACGTGCTGTTTTTAGACCGTTCACCTCTCCATGTGGGGCTCACATGCAACCCAGCGCTCCTCACGCGACGTGCAAGCCGCAAAATGAGAGAGGAAGGAGATAGCGGTACAAGGGGGTTTATAAAAGCCCCCCCACATGCCCCCTGTTCTCAGCCCGACCACTTTATAAATCACAGCACCAGCTGGAGAAGTCATCAGTGTCCAGAGAAACCCCATGTGTGTCACGCCTCCATTTATAGGCAGACGTGTCTCAGCACACAGACACTGCTGCTATGCCACAAATCTGCAGCCTGATTATCCTCCACAAGGTAAGAAGAAATATGGCAGACTCCCCCGTTCTGACACAAATGTGGAAAGGTTTCGGTTTTACAACATGTTAGGCAGCAGTGTTCTTTTTAATGCTTCAGTTTCTGGGCCTTGTTTTCCACCTCTGTACGTCTTGATGCTGATAGTTTCTCCATGCCTCCTCTCTCATGTCGCTCAATCATCCATTTTTTCCTACCAAACAATATAGGCAGAAGCATTGACTTTCCACACACAGCCTCAAGACAATCATTTTCAAGAGCACGGGGATGGAGGGGGAGTTTCCAGATTTCCATATGTTCAGGCTCAAAACAATAAATATCACAGGAGCAAATCTAAAAGTTTCCTGAGAAGAGTTGAACTGTGATTTACCACATCCTCACGAGAGACTGAAGCCAGAGCAGGAAACAAGTGATGTCTATATCCAAACGTGGATAAATATTCTTGTTTTATATTCAGTTCATGTAACTTCAAATGTGTAATACTTCATCCTACACTGATAATCTCTGATGGACATTTCTACCATCTTCTGACATTGAGATTTAATGATTCATCTAAAAAAGGGAAACACAAGTTTTTAATACAAACTTTAAACCGCCTAAGCAACAAAAAAAAACTAAGACTGAATCTGTCCTTGCTTCTATTATCCCACTTATGAAGCCCAACACAGTTTCAGCAGACCGCTGCATGAGTCTGGTTCTAATTGAGGTTTCTGCCTCTCAAAAGAAGTTTTTCCTTTCCATTGTAACTTTGTCTTTTGACTTGACTAAGCAACATTTAGCAAAGTCATCTATAGTGTCAATTTCTGTCATACATAGTGGACACACAGAAAAATTGTTTCTCTCCAAACCACCGTTCAAACTGTAAAAGTATTAAAAAATATATATATAAAATACGAAGGATAAAGTACAGATAGACAAAGGTACAAAGACAATGCACCAGAACATAAAGTTTCTTGGCAGCGGTGGGATTCGAACCCACGCCCCCGAAGAGACTGGAGCCTTAATCCAGCGCCTTAGACCGCTCGGCCACGCTACCTTCCGACCCCTATTTATGAAATATTAATATTGAGTCTTTGTAAATAATATAACAAAGCGTAAGGTCTTTCACCTGCTCTTTTCTAAAGTGTCTTCAGATAAAATGTTATCAGTTAGCGCTATACAAACAAAGATTGCTATAATAAGAAAGTAATCTTAAGCTTTCACAACCCCAGATCATTGGAATTGACATAATATAAATGTTTGTTTGTAATCTGAAATAAGAAATAATACGACTACAAGGGAAAAGGCTGTACTGTTAGCTATACTACGCATGGGTGTATTGTAAAAAAATATACAGCATTGGAATATGAGCCCCAATCATTGCTGTAAATGCTGCTCAGTGGCACAGACTTCTAGATCTTCTGCATTACAATACATAGGAAAACATTTGAGAAGTTGGATATTAGATTATAAGAGAAAGGGACATTTGAGCTGGTGAGGTAATTTAAACATACTGATAATCGAGGGAGGCCAAAGTAAGACTGGTTTATTTGTGTCTTGTTGTCCTGATGATTCTGCAGGTCAACTGCACACATTAGTTATTAACTGAAGCTATTTCTGTGCATGTTTGTGACAAAGCATGTGTCTCGATCTGCTAACACAACATGACAGGATGGGTTCAGTTTTATAACAGCTCAACGTGCTACAATGACAGAGAGGAGCCGCAGCAGGGGGTGCTGGGTAATGAGGTTGTGGACATGTCGATGATCAGACCCTTTACTCTTGAAAGCCTGAGTTATCTTGGTATAAGCCAGGTCATCCAGAGATGTGACCTCTGCAGGCCAAAAGCCCTCCCATAAATGAACACTAATCCTCACAGACACAGGACATGTGTTATTTCATTTATTAAACTCACTTCTTCTGTTCAGCTGTTTGGTCTCAGCTGTTTGGACATTGTTTCTTAAGCTTAGATTATTTATAACATATAGTTTTGAACCTTTATTCCTCTGAGGCCGGAAAAGCTGAGCCCCCCTGGGACCCACACACAAATAAAGATACATTGCTGTCAAAAATAAAAGTCTATTTCTGTTGTTCCCATTGATCAAATCCAAACAGAATAGGCCCACAAATACCTGTTCACTAAAAGATTTTTGCATCAACTATCCAGCAACTGTGTCATCCCTCAACCAACGCCCGACGACTAGCCTCCACCTTCAGACTGTGTCATCAACTCCACCGCCGTCCTCATTCATGCACGACCTGCTCCAACCAGTGGCAAGGAAGTGTGGACAACAGGAATGTGAGGAATACAGGAGACTGTGGAGAAACCCTGCCTGCATGCTATCATACATTAAAGGGGCAATATTATGAAGAATCCACTTTGACAGTGTTTTTGAACATATATTTGGGTATCCTGAGTGTCTACCGACCCACAAAATGTGAACATCCAGGCCTTTGTCTGTGGTCTGCATAAGTCTTACAACACACAGAAAAATGCTCCGTTTCAAATTTGCTCTCCTTGTGACATCACAGTGGGATTCTGGTAAAAAACAATTTCCCTCCCCTCCCCTGGTATCTCCACCCATGGACTCCAGCCCCAGCCTAGAACAAAACGTTTGCACAGGTCGGCCATTTTTATTTTGCTAGAGGAGTGATGTCAACTGGGAAAACTCAGGGGGGGCTCATTGCATTTAAAGAGACACACACACCAAAACGGAGCGTTCTGAGAGAGCTGGTTTATACAGGGTCACAAACCTCCTCTGGTGCTTGATTCATGTTATATTTTGACCAAAGCTTAGCACAGATGTTTCATTTAGACCACAGGGGGACTGTTTGAAAAGGTGGAGAAGGGCTATAATGTGTCCTCTTTAAGTTGGCATAATGTGTCACATTGTTGGGGACCTCATGACTTCCACACAGGTGGCAGTTTAGCATCATGCATATGTTCCATTGTCATGATAGATTAGCTCATTATTTCCCTCAGTGCTATTCCAATCCCAGTAATGGACTGCTGCTTAATCTGCTTTAATCGGTCACCGCCTGGACACGTATCGCTTCTGAAAGTGATACCGTGTGTGTGTCCTTACATGAGAGGTTTTGTGTGTATACAGATATGTTTTACAGAAACTTTTGGGTGATCATTGTGAAAAAGATGTGCACACGGTGACTGTGACTGGTTGGTAGAGGCGGTTGTCTCCTAACCGGAAGGTCGGGGTGTTGAACCCCAGGTGCTGCCTTGGCCAAGACACTTAACCCCAAGTTTCTCCCGCTGCTTTGTCAGTGGCAAATGAATGTGTACAAATGGGATTGTTACTACTGATGGATACTTTACATACCAGCCTCTGCCATATGGGTGTGGATGGGTAGGTGTGACCTGTGGTGAAAAAGCGCTTTGAGCAGTGAGAAGACTAAAAAAGCTCAAGTCCATTTACCATTTACATGCTACATTTTTACAGTCTGGATGAAGGATAGATGGATGCTGAAGGACACATTAATGATCGGAGTGATAGATTAAAGACTGCTTCAAATTTAGGGGGCACAATGCTACTTTGTCTACTTTATGAGTTTGTTATTTTTGGCTTCAGAGTGTGTTTTACATTCCTCTCTGAAATTGTTTTCTTCTCTTTTTCTCTCTCTCTCTCTCTGCTTCTGTTGATTTTTCAAACAAGACACTGAACTTGTGTCTGTTTGTCTTGAGAATGATCTTCTTTCAGTGTGTTTTTGCTCCTGAAACACAGGGTTTATAGCACACGTAGAAAATAATATACATAATAGGAAGAAGGTATTCTTACATATATATTGTTAAAAGGGGCTCGGCTGTAGCTCAGGAAATAGAGTAAGTAGTCGACTAATCTCTCAGTGTTTGTGTACGTATGAATGAGAATATGAATGTGTAACAGCTGTGAAAGTGTTAAGAGATTTGAGTGGTTTTAAGACGACAGAGCATTATATACTGTAAGACCATTTACCCTAGATTACAGACTTACCTTGATTCTTGTACACAGAAGGTAAACAAATCAATCAAAGACCTTTGTTTAGAAAAGATCAACAGAAGCTGTTGCAAGAAGCTGAGTTGAAAACAGAACCCTCAGACATGTCCTGATAACTTAAAGTCAGTATAGCCGTGATGATCTCATTTTAGAGTGTGGGCGTACAACTTAATGATGAATGAAGTGATGAATGTGGATTTGTCTTAAAACTGACTTTATCTGATTTTTTATTTACAGAAGAAAATATCAAGATATATTTTGTGTACTATCTTTTTCCATAGTTGAATCTTATGCCTGTCACTGCTGTAAGGGGACCATTTCTAGAAAGGGAATTACAGCATGCAACTCATGAGAGCCTAGTTTTCTCAGTATGTGTGTTATGTTAGAAAGTTAAAAGGAAGAAAAAAGTTGTTAGAGAATACCACAGGTGTCCTGCGAATATTCCTCAGAATATTATCTGAATATTATCTCATGTTCACTTTTTTTAGCATCTCTCACCTGCAGAAGGATCTTATTTCCATCGTAGTCCTCTGTTTGCCAACGGACCTCACTGATTGGGCTGCAGGTGTGAGGCAGCAGGGGCACCAGCGCCCCCACATCTCGTACCCTCACCTCCATCACGGCTGAGTCCAGCACCATGGGACTCTCACCTCGAGGGAGTCTCTTAAACGACAGCTGGATCTCCATCTCCGGGTTTGAGTAAACGACGAAGAAGCAAAAGTCCTCCTTCTTCTGCGCGACTCTCCGCTGAAGCAGCAGCCTGTAAAGCCGCACCATGTCCACATAGTTTTCATGTCTGCAATAAACTGTAAATCGCACAATTTCTTTCCCGTAATGCACCTGACGCACAGCCCATAGCGGCGTTCCAGGAGACAGAGTGAAGAAGTCCTGACTGCATGGGGACAAAGGCAGCATCCGTCGTCCGTTGCTGACTCTTTCGGTGTGGTGGTAGCTCCAGGGCGGGTTCTGCAGGGCGTGGTGCAGCATCAGGATCTGCTCCTCACCGCCGTATCCCTCCTGGAGGAAGAGGATGACCGCCATGGACGGCTGGCAGGCTACTTCTAGGAGGCCGTTTTGGTTGTGCTTTGGTCGGGTTTGCTGGGAGACGGAGGCCCGCTCTGAGACTCTGAAGAGCTGCAGCTCAGGGTGAACCCACGCCAGCACGGCATCAGCAGCTCGTTGAAGGAACTTTCCCTGGCCGGGGTCTGCGATGAGGTGGACGCTGACGAGGAAGGGGTCCTGGAAATCGCCCATGGATAACTCACCTCCACATACAACAGCATCAAGGTGAGAGAGAGCAGGCAGGGCAAGAAGGGAGGGGGAGGAGAAAGACAAAATGTCATTACAATCAGCTTGGTGAATTAGAGTAAAACACAACAGATATTTTTACAGGCATGAATGCACACCTTTAGATTCATTCATTCAAACCCACCTTTTTCCCACATATATGTATCTTCATACCCTTTCCTATGTTTACCTCTTTGGTCAGATCCTATCCCCCTCCTACAAGTCTCCCACTTTTCACATTTCACTTATCAAGATCAAACTTCGTCTTTCCTCCAACTTCTATGTTTACCTTTCTTCCCCACCGCTCCCCGCTCCCCTCAATCACACCCATGTGGAGCCGAGCTCCTCTGTGGAGGCTCATTAGTGCCATTAGGAGGTCATTACTGAAGCCCAGAGGAATGTTCCAGACCACAGCAGGAGCCATGTATTCAGGTGTAGCCTCCCCCTGAACCCCTGACCTGGCATCCTCATACAGGTACTTCAAAACTGCCACTGAAATGTTTCCAAACTACGTGTTAGCCAGTGTTTCCCTCTTCTATGTAACATACTCATGCTGTATCTCCTCATCTCCATGTACCCTCGTTTGTTAGAGCACTTTTCTTGCAGAGTTTATGTGACTTCTCCAGGGACTTGTCCCATTTCGTCTCTTGTTTCTGGCTGTTTGGAAAGGGCACATAGTCAGGGATACAGACTTCTTGTCACTGGCACAGCAGACCTTTTTGTTGTTGCCAAAAACTCTCCATGAAACAGAGAGGGGCCAAACAGGGACAGGTTCACTCTCATGAGTCCTGCTGGCCTTTGCTAAAGGACACTTTCTACTGGAGCGAAGAGGTGACATTTTCGACAAGTTAGGATCAGTTTACAAGTAAACATTGTTTAAAGGTGGCTGTTCAGAGGTGTGCTGACACCAAGGGCCAAGAAGCTAAACATACCAGTCAAAGAACATCTGAATCAGCTCTCTTGTGTACAGTATATTTTTGGCAAGCAAGTGTTATTTAAAAGACCCCTTTGTATGATGTTTCTGCTTATTTTTAAAGAAGCATGGGATGTAAACACTAAGGCTGCAGTTAAGAACATTAAGAGTGCATATGGTGTTTTTAAAAAAGACAAACTCTAAAATGTAAAATCTTAAAAAGGAAATGATCTGGATTTTTTAAAAATATATCCCTCTTCAAGGATTGGCAGACATAAATATATGTCATGTGTCGGGTAAAAAGCTGCAAGGGTACAATTCTGGTCAATTAAATCAGGTTGAGTAATAAATTCTGCTGAGTGCAATGGTAAAAAATGGAAGATTTAAATGTGTTTCCAACAGTAGCACAAGTATTCGTAAGTACTTTTAAGGAAAGGCTAATGTCCATTAGCTGATGGACATTAGCCGCGTGTGTAAACCTAAGTAGATTCGATAAGGTTATTTGAGAGAGATCTGATTTATTAAGAAGATTTACAATTGATTCACGTTCAATAAAATGGCCTCGAAGTTCAACCCTGACCTCAAGTGTCCTCATGTGGATCAATTTGTCTAATGAGATAAATAAAAGCAGGATCAAGACTGATCCAATGCAGGGTTAAGATCAATTCAATGCCAAGGCCTCGATGTCCTTACACACACACACAGACACACACAGAGACACACAAAAACGGGGCCTGATCCCATTAGACTCAAAGTCTGTCTTCCTGATTTGTAGCTGGCATCAAAACGCCAAACAAAAGGATGAGAGGGATCTTTAAGGGAATTTACAGTCGAGCTCATTGTCCTGTAACACAGAGAGCTTTATTTCTCTAACTCCTACGTACTTCTCACAGTATCCTTTTTCACCTGAGCCAAACAGAAGCAGAGAGCTTTACCCAAACTGTCCGACTGCTGCCTTATTACGATTCCTTTTTTTATTGCAGACGTATCAAAACTCACTAAACACTGAAGCTACAGTGACCACGACATGGCAACCTGCACGCACATCGAGTCTAAGGAGGAGGGGGCGGGGGGGAGACAGCTCCTTTCAGTGGTTTGTATTTGGACAGTACCCATTTTAATTTGTATGTCAGAGTTACATATCACTCCTTTAAAGCTTTTTAAACTGAAGATCTCTCCCCAAAAATCTGCAGTCTAGGCCTGTCAGCTGTTTTCATTCACTTTAACTTTGGGGCTTTTAGATCTTTGCCTGAAGTCTTTCAAACAATCATTTATAGTTGACCTACCATCAGTACATAATGGTCAAACAACTCAATAAAATCTAAAGTCAGATGTATTAGTCAAAAATTCGGCAAACCATGCACTCAGGACATGCATTCACCATGACCTCAGTAGCATTTTTTAGGCACAAGAAATAATGGTAAATGCAAGGCATGGCTTTCCTACAGCAATAACCAATAAGAATCTGGCACAGAGAAGAATATATTAGAGATTAGGTCACCCCAACCCTGTGTGGGGAATCAAGGGGGTTTGTGTGTAAAGCTCTGAAGGAGTGTGTCTCTAAGCTCTTAATCCACTCGAGTCTTCAGGCTGAGGCTGATGTTCTGACTCGACTGACAACATACACACTCAAGTGTCTGCACAACCATCCTGCTGAACACACATGAAAATCAATTTGCACATTTATCGACAGGCCTGTCTTTTCTAATACTTCCAGACTTCTACCTTCAGTCTGTGTTTAAGTGCTAACCATCAACACATGCTGGCTGCAGCCATGATGACGTGAGATAGAACAACACGGCAAATATCCACCCCGGCACATATGAGAGCGATTAGCAGAGAAAACTCAACTAAGGCCTCTGAGTGTGTGTACTGTATGTGTATAAGTACTACATTGCTTTAGCTATAACTTGGCCTTCAAGTCAAAACAACTAAAAGAGGAAATTCAAGACGGGGGCCCCTTTTTTGTCGTCTGGTTTAAAAGAAAGAAAAGATGCAGGTTCCAACATTCATACGTCAGATTGACTGGTGCCGAGGAAATTCAAATGTAAAGTCATGACTTTATTATTTATGTTCCGCATGTTCAAATAAAAACATAATCTGAAAAGGTCAAACACAGAACTTTGACTCTGACTCAAACAGTGTAAAGTTACCTTTTATAAATGTCTGTAAACCTATAGTAATGGGAACCTGTTGTTTAGTTTGCAGCAATAAATGACAGATGCTTATTTCCATATATAGCAGACAAAAAGTAAAACTTATTTTATACATGCAGGGAATTATATATGTTTTAATAAACCAATGATGAGTTTAAATCAAATATCCACTCTGTTTTATCTCTGCTTTGGTCTCCACCAACTTCTTAGGAAAATTTTCTGACTCCGTTGCTGATAAATTCTTCACTGTGTTCACTTGCTAGTTGCTAACTGTTTCTATCTGTTGTTTGGTTGTGAGCAGGGAGTGCAAACCAGGTTTTTAAGAGCTTAACAAGGCTACAAACTGTGGCTAAAACAACAGAGAGCCATGACATTGAACCACAATGCAACCCCAAAACGCTTTTTTTAGTCTTTATATTTTTAACAGACATATGCATTCAAGCATTCATGAAAATGCTATCAGGGGTTTAGGTCTTTTCATGATTATACAAATTTAAATTGTAAAATAATTTCTGAAATAAAACTTTCTGACAGTTAAGGTCATTTGCCACCAAGCCTCAAGTTTCACAGAAGAAAAAAGCAATTAGATATAAATTCTCTGGCTTCAAACTGCTGTTGCTTTCAAACTTCAGAATTAGACAGATTAGGACAGATTGTTGAAGGCAAAGATTAGAACGGAAGGCTTAATGAGGAGACCAAAGCCAGTCCACAGAGCCGGTCCAAGTTCATGCAAGTCATGTGACCTTGAATGTCCGAAGAGCCTTTAGACAAGGCAGCTTGGCTTAGAAGAGAACAAAAGGCTGAAAATGTGATAACGCTGCAACTCTAATTAACTTGCACAAACAAAAACATGCAAGTATTTGGACTACGTAAAATTAACTTGGGTTATTTGACGATTTGATAGACCCAAGACCAGCAGCAATACAACAGAATCCAACCCATAGACTGTTTAAAAAAATGTATGCTGTCTCAGTGACAAACCCATTGGTTGTTGAGGGGGAATTTTAAAGCCCAATGAAGGTGAAAGTCAGGTTGAAAATGCTGTCTCAACCCAACTTTCCTTCACTAGCTGTTGGAAAGATAGTAGAAAGGTGAATAAAGTGTTTAAGTCGTTGCTATATGGCCAGAGAAATATCAACAAAAGGGCTGTACCATTCCCTTCTGCCCAAAGTGTTAAAATACTTCAACAACCAGAATGCACTGGGCTCATTGCCTTCCAAGGATACTCCCAGGCCATTCCCAATTGGATATCCAACCCTCGAACTTGCTCTTCCCCACTTTCTTCACCGATTGTTGATGCTTCACCCTCTGCTTCTAGCCTCTAGGTACCCTGCAAGCTTAAATTCCTCAGCACTGTATTCTAACTCGTATAAGTTGCCCCCGAATGTCTGACTCCAATGTAAAAGTATTAAAATAGGTTTCCTCCATATCCATAGTTACACTGCTTTCTCCCATGTTCTTCAAATGTGTGTTCTCACACATATTGTCAGATGTGATATTTGATTCTAGCTCCGCCACCCTGTCTTGACACAGCTGGTTAAAAATCAACAAAGTATTCCTTTAAGCCTCATGGCAAATAGCTACAATGCGCCCACTTGCAGTCCCTAATTATACATAAGTCGTATCATTCATAAAATCAAAACAGATGACTGTACTGCCTGTACAATGTGTGCCAATAAAGACAGAGATTTGTCTGAAGACATGGCTAAGGTTAGAGGTACAGACAGTTAACTTTTCCTCACCTCAGCTAGAGAGTAGGGCTAGCGTGAAGCACCTTCCTTAGGTGGCAAGTAATGGGACTGCTGGTAGAAAGAATATTTCTCCCCGTCGGGGAATCGAACCCCGGTCTTCCGCGTGACAAATGACCTCAAGAAGCCTCTTGTCAGTTTCCGTAGTGTAGTGGTTATCACGTTCGCCTAACACGCGAAAGGTCCCCGGTTCGAGACCGGGCGGAAACAAGTGGTGGTTCTCTTTCTGCTGAGGATAATCTCCTTTGGCGGACATGTCCGCTTGAATGCTAAGTCCTCACGCAGGTACCGCATCTCCCTTTTCACAGGCCTTCAGGTCACCTTTTGTAGCCCAATAGCAATTACCAATGGCATTTTAGGGGACCTGGCTTATATGCAGGAAGTCCATCAAAGCTCGTGTCGAGGTCCAGAAATATTGTCTGTCGCTCTGAGCTTGCTAGGAGTATAACAATCAGACTGTGCCCAGTCCAATACTCAGGCAACCTCACAATGTTTGGAGCACTGTGTCAACCATGGTGTGGGGTTTGATGATAAGTACAGCTGAGAGGGACTAAAATATTCACTGTCACAATGCCAATTTCTAATTTTCTTTTATCTACCATGTATGAATTTCTCTCCTTGGCCCATTTCCTTAATTTTTCCTCCTTCGAGGTACAGAGAGTTAACTTTTCCTCACCTCACCTCAGCTAGAGAGTAGGGCTAGTGTGAAGCACCTTCCTTAGGTGGCAAGTAATGGGACTGCTGGTAGAAAGATACAGATACTGTCCACTATACTAACGAGGACTTCTGTGGTGCTTCTTTTGGCTTGTGAACGGGCTGATGGCCTGAACCTGAGGAAAGCATGTCCAACTTCGGGGTCCGATATATAAAATGGGGATAGGTGAGGAAAAGTTAACTCTCTGTACCTCGAAGGAAGAAAAATTAAGGAAACGGGCCAAGGAGAGAAATTCATACATGGTAGATAAAAGAAAATTAGAAATTGGCATTGTGACAGTGAATTTTTTAGTCCCTCTCAGCTGTACTTATCATCAAACCCCACACCATGGTTTACACAGTGCTCCAAACATTGTGAGGTTGCCTGAGTATTGGACTGGGCACAGTCTGATTGTTATACTCCTAGCAAGCTCAGAGCGACAGACAATATTTCTGGACCTCGACACGAGCTTTGAAGGACATCCTGGCTATGACTACCGTTTCTGTGTGCTGGTCATCTATAACAGTGTGACTAGCTACTCGAGACACCAGCATGGAGTTGGGGTGGAGCAATTACATTTACCACTTGATTGCTCCCTGCCGCAATAAGCAGATATGTTCTGAGAGATTAACATAAGGCTATGTAGTCGTCAGATGAGAGCCAGGTTTGCCTCCGGGAGATGCCCAGCGCCTCTTTTGCTCTCAACTTTGATGGACTTCCTGCATATAAGCCAGGTCCCCTAAAATGCCATTGGTAATTGCTATTGGGCTACAAAAGGTGACCTGAAGGCCTGTGAAAAGGGAGATGCGGTCCCTGCGTGAGGACTTAATATTCAAGCGGACATGTCCGCCAAAGGAGATTACCCTCAGTAGATAGAGAATCACCACCTGTTTCTGCCCGGTCTCGAACCGGGGACCTTTCGCGTGTTAGGCGAACGTGATAACCACTACACTACAGAAACTGACAAAAGGCTTCTCGTGGTCATTCGTCACGTAGTCGACCTTCTTTCTGAATTTAAACGCTTCAAATGCTAAAGACAACCGGTTATTCAGAGTTGACTTTTCTACCTGCTGATGGTTATGCACCATGAACGACAAAACAACCAAGCAGGAACAAACACCACGTCATTCTGCACAGGTGACAATATGGTTACTTTCAGGATAAAAGAGAATGGAACGGTAAGATGTATGCAATACACTGCAGCTCAAATGGACGATAACTATTGGAAATGGACGGGGTGATTGAAGTTGCTGGTTCCAGTCTTTTGCCTTCATCAACCAATGTGTTCACTTTGCTTTATATCAACACGACACGTGATGTTTGGACAGAGTTGAGTCAGAGGTAGTGATTCCTCGCATGCACTCAATCACCGGCGACTGCTGATGCAGCACGGGGAGGACTTAACCCAAAATTTGTGGAACTTTCACCACTTAACACTGTTAGCGAAACTCTGCCTACTGGACCGGCTGTATTTTATATGTCGGACCCTGTAGTTGGACATGCTTTCCTCAACCCTAACCCTAACCTTACCCTACCCTATCCCCATTTTATATATCGGACCCCGAAGTTGGACATGCTTTCCTCAGGTTCAGGCCATCAGCCCGTTTGATGGACTTCCTGCATATAAGCCAGGTCCCCTAAAATGCCATTGGTAATTGCTATTGGGCTACAAAAGGTGACCTGAAGGCCTGTGAAAAGGGAGATGCGGTACCTGCGTGAGGACTTAGCATTCAAGCGGACATGTCCACCAAAGGAGATAATCCTCAGCAGAAAGAGAACTACCACTTGTTTCCGCCCGCTCTCGAACCGGGGACCTTTCGCGTGTGAGGCGAACGTGATAACCACTACACTACGGAAACTGACAAAAGGCTTTTCGTGGTCATTCGTCAGGTAGTCGACCCGACCCGAAGTTGGACAGGCTTTCCTCAGGTTCAGACCATCAGCCCGTTCACAACCCAAAATTGGCACCACAGAAGTCCTCGTTAGTATAGTGGACAGTATCTCCGCCTGTCACGCGGAAGACCGGGGTTCGATTCCCCGACGGGGAGAAATATTCTTTCTACCAGCAGTCCCATTACTTGCCACCTAAGGAAGGTGCTTCACGCTAGCCCTACTCTCTAGCTGAGGTGAGGTGAGGAAAAGTTAACTCTCTGTACCTCGAAGGAGGAAAAATTAAGGAAATGGGTTAAGGAGAGAAATTCATACATGGTAGATGAAAGAAAATTAGAAATTGGCATTGTGACACAGGTGATTTTTTTAGTCCCTCTCAGCTGTACTTATCATCAAACCCCACACCATGGTTGACACAGTGCTCCAAACATTGTGAGGTTGCCTAAGTATTGGACTGGGCACAGTCTGATTGTTATACTCCTAGCAAGCTCAGAGCGACAGACAATATTTCTGGACCTCGACATGAGCTTTGAAGGACATCCTGGCTATGACTAGCGATTCTGTGTGCTGGTCATCTATAACAGTGTGACTAGCTACTCGAGACACCAGCATGGAGTTGGGGTGGAACGATTACATTTACCACTTGATTGCTCCCTGCCGCAATAAGCAGATATGTTCTGAGAGATTAACACAAAGCTATGTAGTCGTCAGATGAGAGCATAGGTTCCAGGTTTGCCTCCGGGAGATGCCCAGCGCCTCTTTTGCTCTCAACTTTGATGGACTTCCTGCATATAAGCCAGGTCCCCTAAAATGCCATTGGTAATTGCTATTGGGCTACAAAAGGTGACCTGAAGGCCTGTGAAAAAGGAGATGCGGTCCCTGCGTGAGGACTTAGCATTCAAGCGGACATGTCCGCCAAAGGAGATTATCCTCAGCAGAAAGAGAACCACCACTTGTTTCCGCCCAGTCTCGAACCGGGGACCTTTCGCGTGTTAGGCGAACGTGATAACCACTACACTACGGAAACTGACGAGAGACTTCTTGAGGTCATTTGTCACGCGGAAGACCGGGGTTCGATTCCCCGACGGGGAGAAATATTCTTTCTACCAGCAGTCCCATTACTTGCCACCTAAGGAAGGTGCTTCACACAAGCCCTACTCTCTAGCTGAGGTGAGGTGAGGAAAAGTTAACTCTCTGTACCTCGAAGGAGGAAAAATTAAGGAAATGGGCCAAGGAGAGAAATTCATACATGGTAGATAAAAGAAAATTAGAAATTGGCATTGTGACAGTGAATATTTTAGTCCCTCTCAGCTGTACTTATCATCAAACCCCACACCATGGTTGACACAGTGCTCCAAACATTGTGAGGTTGCCTGAGTATTGGACTGGGCACAGTCTGATTGTTATACTCCTAGCAAGCTCAGAGCGACAGACAATATTTCTGGACCTCGACACGAGCTTTGATGGACTTCCTGCATATAAGCCAGGTCCCCTAAAATGCCATTGGTAATTGCTATTGGGCTACAAAAGGTGACCTGAAGGCCTGTGAAAAGGGAGATGCGGTACCTGCGTGAGGACTTAGCATTCAAGCGGACATGTCCACCAAAGGAGATAATCCTCAGCAGAAAGAGAACTACCACTTGTTTCCGCCCGCTCTCGAACCGGGGACCTTTCGCGTGTGAGGCGAACGTGATAACCACTACACTACGGAAACTGACAAAAGGCTTTTCGTGGTCATTCGTCAGGTAGTCGACCCGACCCGAAGTTGGACAGGCTTTCCTCAGGTTCAGACCATCAGCCCGTTCACAACCCAAAATTGGCACCACAGAAGTCCTCGTTAGTATAGTGGACAGTATCTCCGCCTGTCACGCGGAAGACCGGGGTTCGATTCCCCGACGGGGAGAAATATTCTTTCTACCAGCAGTCCCATTACTTGCCACCTAAGGAAGGTGCTTCACGCTAGCCCTACTCTCTAGCTGAGGTGAGGTGAGGAAAAGTTAACTCTCTGTACCTCGAAGGAGGAAAAATTAAGGAAATGGGTTAAGGAGAGAAATTCATACATGGTAGATGAAAGAAAATTAGAAATTGGCATTGTGACAGTGATTTTTTTAGTCCCTCTCAGCTGTACTTATCATCAAACCCCACACCATGGTTGACACAGTGCTCCAAACATTGTGAGGTTGCCTAAGTATTGGACTGGGCACAGTCTGATTGTTATACTCCTAGCAAGCTCAGAGCGACAGACAATATTTCTGGACCTCGACATGAGCTTTGAAGGACATCCTGGCTATGACTAGCGATTCTGTGTGCTGGTCATCTATAACAGTGTGACTAGCTACTCGAGACACCAGCATGGAGTTGGGGTGGAACGATTACATTTACCACTTGATTGCTCCCTGCCGCAATAAGCAGATATGTTCTGAGAGATTAACACAAAGCTATGTAGTCGTCAGATGAGAGCATAGGTTCCAGGTTTGCCTCCGGGAGATGCCCAGCGCCTCTTTTGCTCTCAACTTTGATGGACTTCCTGCATATAAGCCAGGTCCCCTAAAATGCCATTGGTAATTGCTATTGGGCTACAAAAGGTGACCTGAAGGCCTGTGAAAAAGGAGATGCGGTCCCTGCGTGAGGACTTAGCATTCAAGCGGACATGTCCGCCAAAGGAGATTATCCTCAGCAGAAAGAGAACCACCACTTGTTTCCGCCCAGTCTCGAACCGGGGACCTTTCGCGTGTTAGGCGAACGTGATAACCACTACACTACGGAAACTGACGAGAGACTTCTTGAGGTCATTTGTCACGCGGAAGACCGGGGTTCGATTCCCCGACGGGGAGAAATATTCTTTCTACCAGCAGTCCCATTACTTGCCACCTAAGGAAGGTGCTTCACACAAGCCCTACTCTCTAGCTGAGGTGAGGTGAGGAAAAGTTAACTCTCTGTACCTCGAAGGAGGAAAAATTAAGGAAATGGGCCAAGGAGAGAAATTCATACATGGTAGATAAAAGAAAATTAGAAATTGGCATTGTGACAGTGAATATTTTAGTCCCTCTCAGCTGTACTTATCATCAAACCCCACACCATGGTTGACACAGTGCTCCAAACATTGTGAGGTTGCCTGAGTATTGGACTGGGCACAGTCTGATTGTTATACTCCTAGCAAGCTCAGAGCGACAGACAATATTTCTGGACCTCGACACGAGCTTTGATGGACTTCCTGCATATAAGCCAGGTCCCCTAAAATGCCATTGGTAATTGCTATTGGGCTACAAAAGGTGACCTGAAGGCCTGTGAAAAGGGAGATGCGGTACCTGCGTGAGGACTTAGCATTCAAGCGGACATGTCCACCAAAGGAGATAATCCTCAGCAGAAAGAGAACTACCACTTGTTTCCGCCCGGTCTCGAACCGGGGACCTTTCGCGTGTGAGGCGAACGTGATAACCACTACACTACGGAAACTGACAAAAGGCTTTTCGTGGTCATTCGTCAGGTAGTCGACCCGACCCGAAGTTGGACAGGCTTTCCTCAGGTTCAGACCATCAGCCCGTTCACAACCCAAAATTGGCACCACAGAAGTCCTCGTTAGTATAGTGGACAGTATCTCCGCCTGTCACGCGGAAGACCGGGGTTCGATTCCCCGACGGGGAGAAATATTCTTTCTACCAGCAGTCCCATTACTTGCCACCTAAGGAAGGTGCTTCACGCTAGCCCTACTCTCTAGCTGAGGTGAGGTGAGGAAAAGTTAACTCTCTGTACCTCGAAGGAGGAAAAATTAAGGAAATGGGTTAAGGAGAGAAATTCATACATGGTAGATGAAAGAAAATTAGAAATTGGCATTGTGACAGTGATTTTTTTAGTCCCTCTCAGCTGTACTTATCATCAAACCCCACACCATGGTTGACACAGTGCTCCAAACATTGTGAGGTTGCCTAAGTATTGGACTGGGCACAGTCTGATTGTTATACTCCTAGCAAGCTCAGAGCGACAGACAATATTTCTGGACCTCGACATGAGCTTTGAAGGACATCCTGGCTATGACTAGCGATTCTGTGTGCTGGTCATCTATAACAGTGTGACTAGCTACTCGAGACACCAGCATGGAGTTGGGGTGGAACGATTACATTTACCACTTGATTGCTCCCTGCCGCAATAAGCAGATATGTTCTGAGAGATTAACACAAAGCTATGTAGTCGTCAGATGAGAGCATAGGTTCCAGGTTTGCCTCCGGGAGATGCCCAGCGCCTCTTTTGCTCTCAACTTTGATGGACTTCCTGCATATAAGCCAGGTCCCCTAAAATGCCATTGGTAATTGCTATTGGGCTACAAAAGGTGACCTGAAGGCCTGTGAAAAAGGAGATGCGGTCCCTGCGTGAGGACTTAGCATTCAAGCGGACATGTCCGCCAAAGGAGATTATCCTCAGCAGAAAGAGAACCACCACTTGTTTCCGCCCAGTCTCGAACCGGGGACCTTTCGCGTGTTAGGCGAACGTGATAACCACTACACTACGGAAACTGACGAGAGACTTCTTGAGGTCATTTGTCACGCGGAAGACCGGGGTTCGATTCCCCGACGGGGAGAAATATTCTTTCTACCAGCAGTCCCATTACTTGCCACCTAAGGAAGGTGCTTCACACTAGCCCTACTCTCTAGCTGAGGTGAGGTGAGGAAAAGTTAACTCTCTGTACCTCGAAGGAGGAAAAATTAAGGAAATGGGCCAAGGAGAGAAATTCATACATGGTAGATAAAAGAAAATTAGAAATTGGCATTGTGACAGTGAATATTTTAGTCCCTCTCAGCTGTACTTATCATCAAACCCCACACCATGGTTGACACAGTGCTCCAAACATTGTGAGGTTGCCTGAGTATTGGACTGGGCACAGTCTGATTGTTATACTCCTAGCAAGCTCAGAGCGACAGACAATATTTCTGGACCTCGACACGAGCTTTGATGGACTTCCTGCATATAAGCCAGGTCCCCTAAAATGCCATTGGTAATTGCTATTGGGCTACAAAAGGTGACCTGAAGGCCTGTGAAAAGGGAGATGCGGTACCTGCGTGAGGACTTAGCATTCAAGCGGACATGTCCACCAAAGGAGATAATCCTCAGCAGAAAGAGAACTACCACTTGTTTCCGCCCGGTCTCGAACCGGGGACCTTTCGCGTGTGAGGCGAACGTGATAACCACTACACTACGGAAACTGACAAAAGGCTTTTCGTGGTCATTCGTCAGGTAGTCGACCCGACCCGAAGTTGGACAGGCTTTCCTCAGGTTCAGACCATCAGCCCGTTCACAACCCAAAATTGGCACCACAGAAGTCCTCGTTAGTATAGTGGACAGTATCTCCGCCTGTCACGCGGAAGACCGGGGTTCGATTCCCCGACGGGGAGAAATATTCTTTCTACCAGCAGTCCCATTACTTGCCACCTAAGGAAGGTGCTTCACGCTAGCCCTACTCTCTAGCTGAGGTGAGGTGAGGAAAAGTTAACTCTCTGTACCTCGAAGGAGGAAAAATTAAGGAAATGGGTTAAGGAGAGAAATTCATACATGGTAGATGAAAGAAAATTAGAAATTGGCATTGTGACAGTGATTTTTTTAGTCCCTCTCAGCTGTACTTATCATCAAACCCCACACCATGGTTGACACAGTGCTCCAAACATTGTGAGGTTGCCTAAGTATTGGACTGGGCACAGTCTGATTGTTATACTCCTAGCAAGCTCAGAGCGACAGACAATATTTCTGGACCTCGACATGAGCTTTGAAGGACATCCTGGCTATGACTAGCGATTCTGTGTGCTGGTCATCTATAACAGTGTGACTAGCTACTCGAGACACCAGCATGGAGTTGGGGTGGAACGATTACATTTACCACTTGATTGCTCCCTGCCGCAATAAGCAGATATGTTCTGAGAGATTAACACAAAGCTATGTAGTCGTCAGATGAGAGCATAGGTTCCAGGTTTGCCTCCGGGAGATGCCCAGCGCCTCTTTTGCTCTCAACTTTGATGGACTTCCTGCATATAAGCCAGGTCCCCTAAAATGCCATTGGTAATTGCTATTGGGCTACAAAAGGTGACCTGAAGGCCTGTGAAAAAGGAGATGCGGTCCCTGCGTGAGGACTTAGCATTCAAGCGGACATGTCCGCCAAAGGAGATTATCCTCAGCAGAAAGAGAACCACCACTTGTTTCCGCCCGGTCTCGAACCGGGGACCTTTCGCGTGTTAGGCGAACGTGATAACCACTACACTACGGAAACTGACGAGAGACTTCTTGAGGTCATTTGTCACGCGGAAGACCGGGGTTCGATTCCCCGACGGGGAGAAATATTCTTTCTACCAGCAGTCCCATTACTTGCCACCTAAGGAAGGTGCTTCACGCTAGCCCTACTCTCTAGCTGAGGTGAGGAAAAGTTAACTCTCTGTACCTCGAAGGAAGAAAAATTAAGGAAACGGGCCAAGGAGAGAAATTCATACATGGTAGATAAAAGAAAATTAGAAATTGGCATTGTGACAGTGAATTTTTTAGTCCCTCTCAGCTGTACTTATCATCAAACCCCACACCATGGTTTACACAGTGCTCCAAACATTGTGAGGTTGCCTGAGTATTGGACTGGGCACAGTCTGATTGTTATACTCCTAGCAAGCTCAGAGCGACAGACAATATTTCTGGACCTCGACACGAGCTTTGAAGGACATCCTGGCTATGACTACCGTTTCT